CTTGTTGTTCTTGATTCGTTGACGTTTGATCGACCTGGAGACCAGTTTGGACCACAGGAGTTGAGATCTTAGTTGATGCTCGAACCCTAGTTGCTCAGAGAAAACGAATTGAAGAGAAGAAGAAGACAAGAAGACCAGGAGAAGGTACGAGGTGACCCAAGAAGGGGTGTGAAAAGTGTGGGTAGCACGCCTGTACAGTGTGTGGATCACCTAGTACCTCTGTGTAGTGGAACTTTTTCGTTTTCTGTCCTTGGGGTTGGAGCTGAGTAGGGATCTTCCTCCTTGGAGTGTGTTTGCTTTGACCACCTTAGCAGGACTAAGTGGAATGTGACCAGAAGTGGCTAGGAGCATGTCTAGAGAAGCCCTAAGTATAGAGCTATAGTGCTTGAGATGAGCTGTGTATAGCCTAGCTTTGCTTGAGAGTGTTTGGAGATGCTTTCTTGTACTTTTAGTATGTTTTGGACGACTGTGACCAGTCAGACCTCTTCAGAGAAGAGAAGGACGAACAGACATACAGTCAAACCGACTGTTATGTTTGGCTCAAGAGCGGGATTCGCAAAAGGGTCGCACTCGCTTCCGTGTTTTCACAAGGTTCCCCCTGGCCGCCTTCCATTACCATTCTCTACCACCCGCCTTTTGGGAACGAGAAGCTAAGGCTCTCATTCCTGTAGGCTCACTGAATCGTAGATGGTGAGGACGAAATGGTGACTCTGCTTGAGCTTTGTTAAGCCTGGCACGCATAATCGAAGCGGCGGAGGAGAAATGCACCACCACTGTCGTCAGAGCGTTGCCAGCCTAGGGTATGGCTTCTTGAAAGTCTTATCTCCATTGGTCTTCGGCATTTGGCGGCAAGAATCGGAGCCACTTGGGCTTGTCTAGTTGCTCACATTTGTCAAATGCATTGAGCCGGGCATATGTACCTCGCCATGTCTTGCTTTTCCCTTTTCTACGAACTGCTCGAAGCTGCGTGCAACCTGCAAAAGCACGCCGCGCAATGTAAAGCAGGGATGGTGGGATGCAGACTTCTTGCAGCGAGGTACACTTGAGAAAGGCTTCTTGCTCAATGATTCGTAAGTTTCGGGGAAGGCTGAGTTGCTGCAGCTGTGAGCAGTGTGCAAAGGTTGAGCCCAAAATTTCAATGACGTCCGTTTGGGACAAATCAACAGTTTGCAGCTGCTGGCAGCTCACACAGGCGGCCGATCCTATCCTGTTAAAATCTGGCGGCAGGAAGAGCGCGACAATGCCTGCTTCCAGGAAGCAGCAGTCGGGCAAGCATCGGTTCGGATATGCAGGACTACACCCTGACATACCCAAGTTGAGGTGACGCAGGGCCGTGCATCCTTGAAACACTCGAGGCCGCAATTGTGCTTGGGGGGCTAGTATATTGCCAGGGCATTGAGTCGTGCCTATTTGCGCTAGGGAGCAGCACTCCTCAAAGACCTTAGCGCCGAAATGTTTGCAGCCAGGGGCTGTCACTACTCGTAGGACCTGGCATCGGCTAAAGGCGCCGTGCAGCAGGCTAACGACCGTTTCTGGCAGGTGGACTACTTGCAGCTGTCGACAACTCCTCCACGCAGCTTCCCCTACAATCCGAATACCGTTCTCGACTAGGACATGACGGACTTCCGTGTGAAAGGAAAAAGCTTGTGGTGGGATTTTATCATTTCTACCACGCGGCGCTCGGATAGCCTTGGCTTCCCCCTTGAGTTGCCCTTTGTGCGCTGCTTCTACAAAACATTGTTGAGCAATCACATAGTAGCAATGGTTGGCCCTCAGTTTACTCTGTATGGGGTCGTAGTCCCAGGTAGTAGTAGTAGTAGTAGTAGTCGTAGTCGTAGTCGTAGTCCTAGGTAGTAGTAGTAGTAGTAGTAGTAGTCGTAGTCCCAGGTAGTAGTAGTAGTAGTCGTCGTCGTCGTCGTCGTAGTCGTAGTTGTAGTCCTAGGTAGTAGTAGTAGTAGTAGTAGTAGTAGTAGTAGTAGTCGTAGGTAGTAGTAGTAGTCGTCGTAGTAGTAGTAGTAGTCGTAGTAGTAGTAGTAGTAGTAGTAGTAGTAGTAGTTAGTAGTTAGTAGTGAGTAGTGAGTAGTGAGTAGTTAGTAGTTAGTAGTTAGTAGTTAGTAGTGAGTAGTTAGTAGTAGTAGTAGTAGTAGTAGTGGTAGTAGTAGTAGTAGTAGTCGTAGTAGTAGTAGTAGTAGTTAGTAGTTAGTAGTTAGTAGTTGGTAGTTGGTAGTTGGTAGTTGGTAGTTGGTAGTTGGTAGT